TTACCGAGGCTCCAGACCAGACTGAAGCTGTTGCAGTGATGTTAGAGGCTCTGCTCCACTGCCAGTCGTGTGAGGAGAACAGACAGAAGGAGGCTAAAGGCAGCAAAGTGGAGAGCAGGAAGTGGGGAAGCTACGGCGCAGGGGATGGAGAGAGGTGGTTGCTGGCAGGAGCGGCAGGGGTGGGGGTGGGGGGGAGGGGTGGGGGTTAGATAAAGGAGGAGATGCTATAAAACCAACCCTCCACATCTAAACCCTCTAAGAAACATGTGAAAATGCAGAGGCTTAACAGTGCTGCATCGAGCCAAGCCTCTCACTTTAACACCCTTCTTCTCCTGCTTAATGTTGCCGCTTTGTCTTGAGATATTTGCACATATGCATATCAAGGCCGTGTATGAATGTACTCCGCTACATGCCTTTGTGCACCTTTTTGTCAGCTGTGTGGGAGTGTGTTAATTCATGACCCAGGGCGAGAATGTATGTCTTCTCCACTATTGTTTGAAGACAAACGGTTGCATGCGTGTGCGAGTTCGTGCATCAGCGCATTTGTGTTGTAATTCACTTGCGGATGCCACTTAATTTAGCATGCGCATGTGTGTGAGCCAGCCCTTTTTGCCGTATGTGTGTTTATGCAGATCTGTTACCCTGTTAGTTTCCCTCCATGTCCTTACTGACCCTTGTTAGTCTTTGGTCTTGTGTAGCTGCCCATTATCTCTGCATTGGCTCCAGTGAAGAGGAAAACTCATTTGTTGCAGTGTGCCTGCACATTTCTGTTTTTCTAGCAAGCGTTTGATAGACTGCGACATTCAGGAGGTTCTGCATTAACCCTAGCTACTGCAAATGTTCACAATATCGTATAATGCCAAGATAAAATTCACATCAAAACTGTTTTGGAAATTCTTTAAATCAGTTCTGATTTTTCTGAAATGGTGAATGTAGCAGCTGTGGACAACTGCAGTAACTGGCTCAGCTTTGGTTTTGGCACCACTGGATTTCAGTGTTATTACAGGCTGTCATATCAACTACATCTATTCAGTGTCAAAATATTCTGGGCTTCTTTATGTCCACAATCTTTTCTGTCATTTTATCTTTTAATCAATCATCCTCTGTGCGGACGTCCTCCATCTGTCCACCCAACCATCCCTCACTCCCTTATCTCCTATCCTATACTGCTGTCCTTTCTGTCTTATACTTTCTTTTAATTATAGTTTTAATGCACAAATTTCTCAGTCCTGGTGGAATGATGACACCAGTGGTTACCATGGTAACATGAAGTGTTTGGTATTACAGCAAACCCTCTTGGGGCAGCTACTCGGTCAGATATACAGATGAGTAGTTATCTGTTTACAGTGCAGCCAAACAAACTAGGTTACAACAAACAAAGTTCTTTAATGAAGTTATTATTATTGAAGTGCAATCAGTGATCTGATTTCATGTCTCGCTGAGTAGTTTGAGGTATGTAGTACGTCGCCCATTACTCTTTATCTAACAGCTAACTGCTCCGGATTCTTCTTTTACTCCCTTGCAAAAGTGGAGGCCCGTCTTTGCAGGAGGCGTTTCAGTCGCAGTCGTTTATTCGTCCATCTCACACATATCTGACGAACAGATCATCATCGTGCTTCTGTTTCTGTCAACCCAGCTGTCTACACAGGCCACGCAACAGCTCGCATTTCACTCACGCTATAGGCTTATAACCAGGTCCCAATGCCTATTTTTAGGTTTCAAGTCGAGGGTTGCTAAAATACAGGTGACCTACACTCACTATCAAACCTAAATGCACCCCTGTGTAGACGCATGCTGCTTTCACTACATGGGCTGTGTCGAGATTGTGTTAAAAATGGTTGGCTGATGAAAAAAAAAAAAAAAAAAAAAGCTGCAGTGGACAGCCACATCTTGTTTTGTAGACCCAACCACAGTCATCGCTGACCACAATGACAAACATGCGGTGTTTTCCCGGGGCTGCTTCACAATAAAAGCCACATATTTTTTCGCCAGCTGAAAGCTTTTAATGTGATGCTGCAGCAGCAGTAGGAAATGGGTTGGGTTCACATTAGCAGTAACTTATTGCAGCTCTGACTCAGTGTAAAGAGAGTGAACAGTGAACAGTGAGGCTGTTAGCAGTGGGATGAAATTACCCTGTGAATCCCTCATGCAGAGGCAGACTGAATCTGAATCCAGTAAAAACTGCTATATAGTTGTACATTGATTGACATTGCCGAAAAATTGCAACCCATAAATAGATTTCATGAAAATCTTAAGTATTATATACTTTAACCCAAGCTGCCACCAAAAATCACATCAGAACACCTTTGGAAAACGATGTAAATCAGCCCTCATTATATGACATGTTGGATGTACAGGCGTCTCATTTCAGCTTTGGTTTTGGCACCATTGGATTTCAGTGTTGGTACAGGCTGTCATATCGGCTACATCTATTTTGTGTCAGGATGTTCCAGGGTTTTTTTCTGTCTGCAGTTTCGATCTCCGTGTTCTTGTTTCCCTGTCATTTTATCATTTTATCAATCGTCCGATCATTGTGTCCGTTGTTCTGTCATCTGTCCATTCATCGTCCTATTCCTTGCTGCCTTATCCTTCACTGCTATCCTGTCTATC